TCTCAGACTGTTAATGTTGGCCTCCACTTACTATGCACCCGGAGTAGCCCAGAAGAACTGTTTTGCAGTAAAGCTAATACAGAATTTCTTTTGTCCTCACCGAGAAGACTGATTTGATACAAAATGCTCTCAAGTTGCTTGACGAGCTACATTAAGCAGGTGAGCCGAATCATAAGCTCTCTGCCATGAAACTACTCTTGGGCTGCAAGGGCTTACCTGTATGTCGTGACCAAGAAGCTGACCTAGGCTCTCACTTTGGATCTAAACGGTTATCCCTATCCCACAAAACACTCCACTTGGTTGACCTACTGGAATGTTGAGGAAAAGGTACGTGAACATATCTGGATTAAAGAATAACGTGGTAACCGAAGACTCAGTGGGGCGAGAGTGTGTTTGTACTGACAACAACGCTTAACCCTGATTTATACCCACCGGGAGACCTGGCAGATACGGTAAGATGAGGCCTAAACTTTCTACGGTTTCAGACAAACCGGCTAGACCCTGTAGACTGGTTCTTAGATCCTACTGTTATTTCCAGGCAGTCTAATATTGTCGGAATTGGTCCTTGATTTTGCTCGGGCCTTAAGGCATATAAAAATACCTCAACGCTGGTGTATGTGAGACATGACAAGGGAACGTCAAGGAGCATCAGCGAAATGTCGATGGGCATGAACAAAGGGGATCAGTAATTAAGACAAACTCATTAAATATAAGCTATGACCATATGACGCTTTCGGACGTACACTATCGAAGCGAAGCGTGTTGACTGAGGCAGACAAAGTTAAATGGAGGGGTGACGAGACTCTTCTGTCGCGGTTTTTTCGCGAAACGTTTTGATGTACTGTATAACCAGCTTCCATATTTATGAGGCGGCAACGTACGACGACGTCGCGCAACAACGCGGCGAGGTCCTGCTCGAGCGATGGGCTTCAGGATTCGTGTCCCAAAGTTGTAACCTCCCTTCAGATGTCTAGCATGGGCGGCGAGAAGGACACTAAATGAATGTATGATAGTTTACAGGCATTAAATGGCTCATAAAGCAACGTACTCTGGAAGCAATCAAGTGTAGTTGGTCTGGTACAGTATGTATCTGCTCTTCGTTCTTGTATCATCAGACTAAAGGCCGTATACAACTACTCACTGTATTTCTATTACATATCATTCTACTTGAATTACAGCAACTAGAAGAACAGAAGCGGTCGCCAAGGGCGTGCTCCTGAAACAACGCATATCTAGGACTCAAACTTGCGGTGTCACCCTCACCGGATATGGATCAAGGGTTGCCTTAAATGCGAACCACCGTAGAACATGTGCCACGGTACTGTAATACATAGTCCGTCCTTTTTCATTTTGGGGTTCGCATTGAATTATATTACTGTGACATGTCCGTTTCCGATGTGTTGTGTTCGAGAATATCCTTAACACCATTGCCCTAAGTATTGTGTGTACTAGTTCAAGAAATTGAACCTAATTAAAGCAGACTCGAAGCCACAAGCTTAAGCCATGGCGTGGCTAGGGGCTGGACCTTGAGACCGTCGTCGGGTTGGCTTACAGTACCCAATGTGAAATTTGGAATAGAGATAGTCAACCCCAAGCGCAGTCTTGGATGACCTCAGTACCTGCAATCTGCGGTTAGAGCCAAGCAAAGAAATATAATAGCTGGATTTACTTCGCTTTAGGTAGAGACTCCTCTGGTGGATCAAAGAGACCGCAACTACTAAACAAGACGGAAAAGTTGAACGGAGTACTTTCTTTGGATTTCTAAGTCGCCTTCAACATGGCCCATCAGGTGCAATGTACAGTACACGGACATGTCCCGACAATGTACCTGCAACAGGTACAGTACTACCGTACGCCACCATGGTGTGACCTTACCCCGCTAGATACAATTAGCTCCCCACCCTCAAGGATGATGGAACTTGATACAAAGTAGAATAGGATTCGCATTTTGTCTCAATTTTACGTCAAGATTACCGGGTTTTGCGGTAAGTGCTCTACTCATTCTCCGCACCTTTGTAAACGTTATAAACCTGCTGCTAAGAGGTCTATCCCCACAGGGCATAGAATGCTTACAGAGACCAGAAACCGACGGCGAGAGCTGGCTTGGCCAGCAGGATAAACACTTCACATCTGGGGACCTGCCACCGTACAACTCGGGTGTGCAGGCGGTCGATAAGCATGCGAACCCTCCGGTGAACAACGATCGTTTTCGTGGTACCGAATATAGATCGCGGCACAATCTTCAGAAAGAAGACATGATTCACGGATACGTTATTGAACCATGCAGTCCACTCCCTGTCGTTGCGCCGATGTACGGCGTCATCTGCTCCCTTATTCTATCCGTATCCTTGGCATTAACGCAGCGCTGGCAATTTGAAAAAGTCGGCACCGTAAACAGCCGTTAACGTTGTTAGGGCTGTGTGCTTTACAGTATCCAGACGGAATACTGTTTTAGATACCGTGAATATTTCCTAAGCGAGTATCGGCTCATCTTACGTTTGGCCAACTATCTAAAAGTTGGCCTAGGCACGAGTATTTATATCTCTCTGTCACGCCAATTTTCATAGCTACTCTATCTGCGGAGGTATATATATATCAATATGAACCCATTGTTACTGCACTACACGAACATGAAGCAGATTCCCAATCTCTATTGCTGCTATGCTAAATTGCCAGGTGGGATACACGCACCAAGTACAGTAGGCACCATGTGTATCGCATCATTAACCTAGTTCTTTTGTTGAGATGCAAGTGTACTTGGATGCTTGGCTACCCACATAGGTAGTAGATGCTTGTCTTGCGTCCTCCAATTTCCTTTGATCGACATTCAGTATTTGCTAGTACACCCTCGGTCGAAACCTCTTTCCGCCCCACAGAGACGAGCTTATATCCAAATCTAAGCGCCAAGGCCCCACTTCATGCACGTGTCCTATTCAGGAAGAAGGTATCCCGTGTATATATATAGAACTCGTAAATAATACACGAATAAACCAAATTGGCTAGAAGATTCTCGTTCTGTATCGTCACGGACACTGATCCTCTCCCACACTCCACATCGCCCACCCTCAACTTCTCTCTTTACCCCATGGGAGCTCCGCGCCATGGGACGCCACCTTGAACCCTGGAAGCATACGCTTATCCGAGACATGTTACACAAAAAATGTTTTACTAATTCACAGATTGCTGATGCTGCCGAATGTAGTAAACGTTCTATCAGAAATATTCGTTCGCACCTGCGCATGTTCGGTGGTGAGAGTCAGCCAGTGCATCCCGGAGGTCGACCACGGAGCATTACCCCACCGATGCTCGAAGCACTCCTCGAACACCTCATCGAAAAGCCCAGTCTATACCTTGACGAGATGGCAGTTTTTCTACAGGACGAGTTTGATACTGTGATCTCGCCCTCGAGTATAAGAAGAGCCCTTTCTTCTGCAGGTTGGACCAAGAAGACGGCCCGTAACAGAGCACAAGAAAGGAACCGTGACCTGCGAGATTTCTACTTCCATAAATTATCTGAATACCAATCACATCAACTAGTCTTTGTTGATGAGTCTGGATGTGATAAACGGATAGGGTTTAGGAGGACTGGTTGGTCTCCTCTAGGAGTAAGACCCATTCAAGTAGCGAAGTTTCATCGAGGCCAACACTACCAAATATTACCCGCCTACGCCCAAGACGGCATAATCCTCTCTCGTGTTTTTGCGGGCTCGACAGATGCTATCATTTTTGAGGATTTTATCGAGCAGCTTCTGCAACACTGTGGGAGATGGCCCGAACCAAAGTCGGTCCTAGTTATGGACAATGCATCTTTCCACCATTCCGATAGGATGAAGCAGATGTGTTCTGAAGCTGGGGTCAAATTTTGTACCTGCCACCATAATCACCTGACCTGAACCCTATTGAAGAATTCTTCTCGGAACTAAAGGGTTACATCAAGCGCAACTGGAAGTGGTACGAAGCCGAGCCTGACCAAGGCTTTGATGGTTTCCTGCAGGCATGCGTGGATACCGTTGGCGCCAAAAAAGCCAGCGCCGAAGCCCACTTCCGACACTCCGGCGTAACGATTGAAGAGTTCAGGGAATAAATGGGAGGAAAGCCTTATTGTACAGCTAGAGTTACTTCGTCCCCAGCTAGCATGAGATTTTCCTTGGGGCGGATATATTTTCATCATGATAGGTTCTATCACATGGTCATTAGTCATTCCGTTGATGCCATCCAAGGAATCGGACACGAGTAACTCCATTCCGGACCTCTCCTGCCCTGTGTATATCCATGGCTGCACTTTCTATCTGCATGACGACCCTCCCGACTGACGGGTCGGATTAGTGCATTGCACTACTTACCATTAGTACTTTATGCCTGATTTGCATGATATCTATTGGCCGCTGATATAAAACCAGATGACTCACTACACTTGTTTGCGAAAGCAGTGACGCCCCAGGGACTCTTTCTTTATCTCTCCAGCCATTTGGCAAGGGTACACTAGTACGTTATGGGAAATATCACGGAATAAAAATCTTATAATAACCTCACATTATCAAGTACCGTATTTTTAATGATGTCGTATTATCTCCGGATAGTCCCATACGCTTGACTTGTGTAGCTGAAAACCGTGGAAACGTTGAAAGCAGGCTTCCCTACCAAGTCAAACTATCAACACCTTTCCCGTTCCTATGTTGCCCCTGGCGTCAACGTCATGCCCGGTTGTGCAGAACGGAGACCCAATTACATGGTGTATCGTTATACTAATGACCCTGCTTACCCTGTTTATCATACCATTCGGCTAGTCAGGAACCAGTATTCCCTATTGGATGACCCCACGTTTGAGAGCTGGCTCCAGATGTTTTTTTTCTAGAACCCTCGGTGGAAGCTTTTGCCCGAGGACATGAGCCCTTATCCCTTGGTTAGGATATTGCCACTCAGGCGACCAGACAGGAGCAAAGTCCCTGATATGTCCCTAAAACTCTAGAAGCTCGAGGTAGTATAGTCCGTACGATCATCTACAATATAAGGCTCAATTGCGTCCCAATATGTCTATCAATCCACCCTGTCAACGCTTCTGGCACGAAAATCGCTGTATCCATCCCAACCGGTGACAACCGATCTGACATCTTGCGCTCACTCATGTCAACACCCAAAAACCTTTCCTTGACCCAAGCCAACGCTGCAAACACCCCATCAACCGACAACACCGTATGCGACTCCATAGCATATCGTCGATAATCCACCACCACACCTGCCTCACAATACCTCCGAACCAACGCATCCGCCTCTTCAATTGGCGACTTATCGTCATGCTTGCTTTCATACACCAGCAATGGAATTCCCTTCGGGACACTCTGTCCTAGACTGTTCACCTCCAGAATCCTCCTGACGTCGGAACTATTCAGAAAACTCAGCCCTCCATCAAAATAGCTTGCTATGTCGGCCTCCGCCCAGTTGTCCTTTAATGACCCCGCACATTGCCCGCGAGAACGCTTAAACTCTGCCCTTTTCTCTGCGTCGCCGATAACAAGATGCTCCTGAAGAACCTGCTCCATGACAGGGTAGTCACTCGCAAGCCCCCATAGCGCACGTGGCAGATTATTTGGAGCCGGTATCGCCATCTCGAGCACCTGCGATAGATGAATCAGTAACCCACCCACTGAGACTCCAACGATACGTAACTCTGGTGCATATGTATCATGCAACTCCGCTGCCAGTACGGCGGCTGGACTCGCCCCGGAGTATCCCATTAGGACTGCAACGGCGGACGGGTCAACCACCGTGAAGTACGATGACGCTAGCGCTGCGCGCAGTCCATCCAACCCGGCGAAGGCACCGCGTCGGTTCGCCATAAATGCCGCATTGAACCCTTCATAATCTGGTACCAGCACGATGAATCCCTGGTTAAGGGCACCGGCGATGACAAGAGTGTGCACGGTGGCGATTACTCGGTCTGACAGGCCAGGTAGGGGGACTCCATCGGCGAGTATGTAGGATGGGGAGCAATCAATGCAGGCAGAGTTCTGGACAGGGAAGTAGACGAGTATCTGGCTCGATAGGGCGTTGGGGGGGATTAGTAGAGTGGCGAGGGAGACAGTGGGTCGGTCATGGCTGTCGGTTGTGCGGTAGATAATTTGATAAGCCTTTTCGTAGAAGGACGGTATTGGGTCCTTGAGAGGGTGTGGAAGGGGGCGATGGTCGAGAATAGTTCCCGGAGGTTTGGTTTGGAAGTCTTTAGGGAAGCTGTAGAATGGGTCTTCACTTGGGCGCGTGGGAGAGGCGTGGGTGAGCGAGGTAATGGAGGATATCAGTGTAATGACTAGAGGCCAGAGAAAGAGCATTTTGCCTTGTGAACGGAGTACCCTGTACTTGGGTATTGTGGCACGGAGTCCCTATCTAATAAGTTAACAGGTCTGGTAAGTCCTTGACATGTCCTTAATGTACTGGCTGCAACTACCCCTGAAAGAATCCATCAGTGGGAATGACCAGAACTAGGACTTCGATCTACAGAACACCCAATAGTTCATCTAAATACATGTATATTGGCAATTTAAGATATATCTTTATGAGCTCATAATGTGAGTTTGTATCTGGGCTAATATGGTATTCTCTGAGACCCCTCACACTCATGTACACGCCAAAATTGGTGTCCTTAACACAAGAGGTTAAGCACGGTCTTGGCACAGGATTGGAGAGATGAGAAATGATCGTCAAGGGGTGACACTACTTTCGCAAATACCCATATCTGGCTAGTCAACAGTGTGTCAGGTCAACAATGTTCCAACACAAGGAGGTTCATGGTCAAATAAAAGTAGACTTCGTTGCAAACTATACCGCGGATATGCCAAAATGGAGACAACTTTGCGAAATGTGAGCATTGAATCAAAAATGACGTAATAAGCCAAATACAAACTGGACCATGTCGTACGGCCAGCGCAGCGGTAATGCAACCCCAAATGCTCATTGTTCATCAAGTGAGACAGAAATGATCATTCTTGGCGACAAAAGAATGTTCAGTCGTCTGAATCAGAGGGACCTTGACTACATCGCTCCAGTGAGAGTTCTTTCACGTATTCAAGCCATTCATGAATGTCGCGGACAAATCGCCGGGCAGTCCCTTTTGTCACACCCTTTTCAATCAGGAACTGCACATGCTCTTGATCTTCTTCCACCAACTCGAGGTCAAGGCCATTGGACAGAGTGATTTTACATGCATTGTGCCAGTCGGCTTTGCGCTCCTGGTCGGTCACTTGCAGTGCGTGCCATTCACAGTACGCCTTGACAGCATCATCTCGAGGCCCAGAAATCTTGAGTCTCTTATTCGAAATTGCAGGTCTCGGGGGCGATAGAGGCATAGCAGGCTCACACATACCGGGGGGGGGGGGGGGCCAAGAGATTGATGTTGATTGGACATGGAGCCCCCAAAGCAAGCTGTTTATTTGTTTTATTCGAGCTTCGCTCAAGTTTCTGCTGAGCCTCCACGTAGAGAGCTTGTCGAATACTTTCTGGGACGTCGTCATGACTGACAAGTGTCCCCCCTGCATCCACATAAGAGATAAGTTTCATAAGGTGAGGTTTTCGTAGTCCGTAATGTTTTCGACCCTTCGGGTCCTGCCAGCACCATTTGTCGAAGTTATCGCATGAAGTCACAGAACAACGCATGCGCATAAGTTTGTACACATATCTCCAGGATGAAGGCTGATTTGATTCTTCTTCAGCACTGATGACTGCATCTCGTTCAGCAAGCATCCTTTTGGTGGCTGAAGAGCCTCGTTTGTCGCACGCTTTAGCCGCGTCATCGTCTCTTATATATTTGACGGTAATGGCAATCTGAGGTGTCCTGCCCTGATGCGATGCCCAAGACAGGTCAATCACACGAGGTTGTGCATGATAAGAAGCAGAGCAGGGTTTAAGGAATAAGCAACAACACAGTACCAATAAGCCCAAGCTGTCAAACCTTGACTGGCGATCTCTACTCCTCCTGCAGCCCTAACTGCAAGATACAGGAGAGGAATGCAGGATACTGAGCAAGCTCCCACTCTTGCCAGCTTGCCTGGCTATAGCCTTCACCGCCTGGCAGAAAGAACCTTCTATTGAGTTCTGTCTGCCATTGTATGTCGATTACAGCGTCTCAGATACAGTACAAAACGATACCAGAACAAAAACAAGAAGCAAGGGCGTGCCTTATGTGACATCATAAGAATCTAAAAATATAAACCCGTTGCGTATTAGCGCCTTGGCACCAGGTTTTGGAAATAGGCTCGTCACTGTTAGGGGGGAAGGAGGTTTCGACCGAAGGTGTACTCTGTTAGCTCAATGAATGGTTATAGGCCATGTTTTGACTCGAGATCCAACTTCTTCAAGAAAGGACGCAGTTTCCCAGATGTTCGCGCCGACTAAGATGGCACAGTACATATTAACCTGCTCACGAATACAATGTACCGCTGTATGAAAATCCTTATCGGCATACTTGGACCAAGCGGGGACCATAAATAGTGCAACTTTTCTAAGGGTTGTTATTCCAGAGTTCATTCCACGCATCAGACGCAGCCGATTCAAGAAATTCCAGGCGTTCCAGGCTGTCTTTGAGTCGACCAGCGATATCGGATACGTTTCGATAGTCCCCACCATTCGGATATGGAACAGCCTCCGAATGATAAACTAACAGAAGGTCGTCGATCGTCCGTTCTACAACTTCTTGTAATTCTTTGAGTAGATTGTAGCATGTCCTATAGAACCGGTTCACGGCCCTGTGCTGACCGATTTCCCTAATTATGTCAACCTCATGCGCCGACATCTGAAATTTCTCAGTGACTGTCCCTCGACCTTCTGCGTGCCGTTGGGATATGGGTAAATATAAGGCGGTACGCGCCTGTGAAGCCATATCCATATGGGCTGTCGAAAAAAAGGGCCAGCGAGAAGTTTGGCCTGGATAGCTGATGGCCCCCATTGCCTGAAACAAACTGGTGCAGGAATTTCGGGCACCTGATTTCATCATAACTCCTACTTTGGAAGATGCAGTTTTCCGAAACTCTGATAGCGAGAAACGACCTCAGTTGGAAATGTCAAGATCATTCTCAGAAGAGTGGGCACTCGGGATACTAGCCCCATTCAGGTTTTTGGAGGGTGATCATCACCAATAGTTCGTGGGAATATGACAGCCCTTCTCACTTGTTTTTGTGTCTAAACCTGTGTGTGCGGCTTCTCGTTGTAGCATTGTAGTTCTGAACTACCAGATCGGCCATGCGCTGTGGTTTGGGTTCTGCGTTGCAGCATGGCCGGGTAAATGACGGGCGGACACACGAAACGGACATGCCGCTTGTGAACCCCATGCTCATCCTTCCTAATCAATCACTTTTCACGAGTGCCAGGCTTACCTTGGGTCCAGTATGGCAGAAACCGGCCTCTTTCTAGGTTGTACCGTTAATTGCGAGAGTAGTGTCACCTGCGAGAATTGTTTCCTAGTCTCTCCTACCCTGCGCCAAGATTGCGTTTAATCTCTTTGGTCAGTGTCTTGGAATATCTATTTGAGAGAGCGTATGGTATGGCAACAGAAACTCATGATTATGAAATTAGTAAAATTAGACGTCACATCCACCGGCCTCTGCATTTGCACGACAATACAGGGAAACCAACGTGGGAAAAACCCATATCGAGGCAGTGGACGACAACTATTCCCAAAAAAATCCAAAGGCAGACCGGATTTCATGCGTGAAGCAGACCTGGGAGAATGTTGAATACCCCAAGCCGTCAAATCAATAATAACATATGCAGAGGGTGTTGGACCGTTGAACCATCCTCACTCAAAACAAAAACAAAAGACTCAAGGGAAGCATTGAACCGGTTAGACTCCAACCTGTCTCACAATATCCAAGGCAGTCTGATACAGTTGGATCTTGGAGAGCAGATCGTTTCGAATAGTTGAAGTCGCATAGTTTTCTTCAGCAATATCTGCTAGCTCCCTGTCAGTCATTCCACCAGCGAGATCAGGAGAAAGGAAGCGAATGGCTGCTTCTTGGCCGAGTAAGCATCGCTCAGTCACCTGGAGAATGACTGTATCGCAAAATCGTTTCAAAGCTAACTTATAGTAGGCTTTAAGAATGTCGTGTATGTCATTGATGGCTTGTTCTTCGTTACTCAGGTGAATCCCACGTAACACATCTGTCATGCTCATCTGTGCACCCTCTAGGTTAAGGCTACTGAGCCTCGCCATAACGCGTTCTTGCCGTGTTTCGGCGAGTGTATCTGCAAAATAATGATTCACAGTCTGCAGGATTCCGCCCCGCTCGTCACTGAGGAGGGTGGACAGTATCTCCATGGCACGTGTAAAGGTCGTCGCCTCCCTTCGGAGGATCCGTGACATCAGACTCGCCCTTACCTCATCGTCCCCAACGATGCTCTCGAGACTCAACCGAACGAAGTCGGAGATCTTGGAAGAAGCATTCTCAACATAATCTCGCGCGATTCTTTCCCATGGAGACGACTGCTGCCGGAACAAATTCTCGAGCACAGCTGGGTTGACTGTTCCAGGAAGCTCGGCGCCACGAGAGTCACGGTATAGGTTCCGGATCCAGTCGTAGATATTTTGCTGGTCACCAGTGATCCGGTGAAAACTAGTGTCAATGTCCCCTGATACAGTCTGAAAAATCTTCAAATGACCGTCACGCGCCATGTCCTTCGCAAAGGTCTCGTTGAGATTGTGGATGTGCATACGAAGCTTCAGCGGACTATTACCATCCAGAGTGGGATCGTAATTGCCACTGAGCGCGTTAGCCACATGTCGTTCGTATAAGGTTCCGATTTGAGTCAAGTATCGCCTCTGATCGACTGTAGTCTGGCGCGAAGGGCCGAGCAGCTCCAGGTCTCTCTGTGTCTGTTGCGAGAGATCTTCAATCTCCTTCACCATCCCTGGGAATTCTCCTTTGATGGGAATTCTCCTTTGATGTGGCCATACAACAGCCTTCCGAGGAATAGTTTGAGAGATTTAATGCCCACTCGATCTTTGCTCAGTTTCGTCCAAGGTTTCTCTGTGGAAAAGAAATGGCTCTCCTTGTGATGGCGACCTTCGATCGTCACTCCTTCCTGTATCTCCTTGGTTGAACGATTGCGGACTGCAAACCAGCCGTGATGGAGTTTTTCCACTTCATTTTGGGCAATTTTCACGACCTTGCGCTAGTCAGTTTGAATCATGCGAGAGATGACCAGTTACTCACGCTCTCCTCATCACCTTCCTGGACAGCATCGCACTTTGTGATGATACCGACGGTTCGGCTACCCTGGGGATCTGCACTCCGGGCCATATTGAATCTATGCAGTGAATCAGCATCACAAGCAGCATCCACACTGTGCACTTTACACTTCTTGGTTTGCAAGATTGTTCCTTGCATCCATCACGGCCCTGAAATAATGTTAGTGCGATTACAAGAATATTGTAGAATCCGTACAGGATGATTGTGCGCTTGTCGGTGATGTATTTCTCAATCAGACCGCGAATGATTGCGCGATCCTCAAGGGTTTGGTACTGGGTAGGATCTTGGGCGAGTTAGCTTCCGATATGACAGGAAAAGGCCAGTCAAACGCCGCCATACTATGGAATAGCCCAGGGACATCAACAACGCTCAGGTGTCTCTGCAGTGGACCTGAAATTTCGATTCTGAGAATATCATCCGAAAAGCGCTTGTCAAAGCGCTCTAGGTCTGTTGTACTCGGCCCAGGGACACCCATGTGGCGAGCAGCCTTTAGGTAGTTAGACAAGCAGAATAAATCAGGAAATGTCAACGTGCCTCATTGAAGATGTCCTCGATCTCTCTATTGTCGAGGTTTTCCTCTTGAGATACCCTTTCGAAGCCTAGTAGGCTTTCTCTGTGCCCGTCACTGGCAGTCGGTCCAGGAATGATTGTGATCCTAGTTCCAGAATCTTCCGGCTTCGTACGGCGAAGGACGATCTGAGTCACATATCTTGTACATAGATCACTAGCAATTGGAAAGGAGAAGCCAGTAAGACCCTCAAGGAGCGACGATTTTCCACTGGATTGATCTCCAACAACCACAAGCTCCATGATGTCAGTGCGGATCCCATGCCTTTGAAGGGTGTCAGACCTGCGGAAGGGAAACATTGTCGTTGATTCCCAGTTCCCGGAGATTGTCTATGACTGCAAGCAAACGGAGACGGCCTTCATTGTCCATATCGTCTCCGTCTGTTAGCATTTGGCCTTTTTTTCTGGCCATTTTGATGCTCTGCAAAGCCGCTGGCCCTGGAGCCGAATGGAGAAGTATCTGCTGCTCGCACTGGTTTTAGAGGAACGAAAGAGTATAACAATCAAAGCACACGATTGCGGAAGATGCCTTTCGGTCGATCAGAGTGGGAGTGAGCTTCGCTTTATATTGCCGCTTGCGACTTCCGAAGAGGCAAAGGTGTAAAGTCGCTGCTTATGAATTCCGTGTACAATAACATACATACCAGTCCCAACTTGTGATGATGATCCTGAATAGTTTTTGCTGATCTGCAGAAAGCCAAGAATGGACCAGCCAGGTCTGCCATACCAACGTTACATCCGGCGTTCGATAAGGTCAGTCCAGACCATGTTGTAAGAATGCTGCAACGCCAACCATACGTATGTATGAGTAGGCATGGGAACGACGACACTTTCTTCATTATATAATACCTCAAATTAGTCACCAGCCTCAATACTAACTAACGGCCCATAGGATACATATTTAGGTGGAATTTGGGGTGCTAGCCCCAAGAGCTTCAAAGCATGAACAAACCTGACCATCTAGGTCACCAGCGACAGCAATATGCCGAGATAGATCCTTTTTCATCCTTTCTGCCCCACGGCCACTGGGGCCTGCTGCTTTATGAGAAACCGCAAACCCATAGCTTCTCTAATGCCTTTGTTATACCATCTTGGTATTTTGGACGCGCGGGAACAATTGATCATGGCGTTTGGTGTACATTCCAGGCTACCTTCGATGTAGCGCTTGCTCATATTTCCCCAATATGAAAATGCCTCTCAGGTTTTGCGCCGCGCTTGACTGCCAATTCTTGACTTCGAATCCTGATTTTGTCACAAGTATGCTAGTCCTTGCACGGTTGTCAAATCCCGCACCTCCCCTCATGTGTTCGAATGGGATTCCAACTGTTATTTTAGAATGTATATCCCTTGGATGTTGCAAGTGTTTCAATACCCACGGCTGGAGTGAATGGAAGCTAGCTTTTATCCTCATATATGAAGGTTCGCTTTGAGACGAAGGACTATTTAGTGCTGCTTCTGTAGCTGGGACAATTGGACAACATTCGGGCTCAGCCTAGAAGTATTCTTTCCGGGTTTGCTGGGATTGGGTACCTCCAAATGATATATGAGAGTCGCTAATTGGGCCCGAAGAATCCAAGAATGTCTCTGTAGTGACACAGCGTATGTTCACCGGCACAGAACAATGGCAATGCGGGCGAAGCCAACAGACGGTGGCCCAAATCCTCTTTTGCGGTCGACATTCCCAGAGGAACGCCACTGCTGGAGGCATGATGAGGGGTGGTCGTGCGATCTGAAGGGCTATCCTCACGGACTGGAAAGGCTGGACACCGGTGGCGTGAGCCGCCACATTCATGCTGACAAACAACCTCTTCGGAAAATTCGGGGTGTCAACAGAGAACAGCAGAGCTTGAGTCCTCAATCAGAGACCGGACACATGATAAGCTGTGATAGGCGCAAGCGCTGCAGAACAAAGGAAACAGCTCCTCGGACCAAGATCCCGCCTCACGATACAATCTATTCTCACACGTGCTGTATCCCTATGTTACAGTAAACAGGCAATTTACTGAAGCCATGTGCACCTCGTGTACCCGCTCCAACGACCCTCCCGGCAGACTATGTCAATCACCAAGATGGCGACACGCCTTGTACAATCTACTTAAAGAGTTAACCTTTGATATGATCACAAGAAGTGAGCCCAGCGGACCACGGGATAGCTGAGGTTGCGAATTGTGATATAAAAGGACAATTAAAAGGGATCGTGAAATATTCGAATATTTGGCAGCATGGTAGTACCGCTATATAAAGGCGGACAACCCGCAGGCTTACTTCTCTTATAATCAAAATTCTTTGCGAACATTGACTTGAAGACCTAGTTACATTTTGATGAGAGGGTGATTTTCCAATAGGAAGAATCTGACGTTCTTGTAATGATACAAAGCATTCGTCGTGCGCTACGGAAGGAAGGTTGGTTAGTATTGTATCTCTATCTTAGTTGCCTATGAAGGAAAATCTCGAGAAAATCAGAAGGGCTCGCTGAGGAACGGAAAATACTATAAATATGTGTCTAGCAGTAGCTACCCACAACGGTATTAACAGCTGCTAATATTTACTCGTCAGTGATAAATCCTATATATAGAAAAAGGCTGGCAGTCATTTTGGGTCTGTTGGTAGCCCACTGGTGATGATGGCACGAGGCAACAGTTCATCAGTACTATATAGCGCCACGATTGAGGGGTTCTATTGATAACTAGTTACTCAGCAGTGGAAGTATGCTGTGGAAGGGCGAAGGCTTGGCAAGCAGAATGACTAAGGATCCGGATAGATTGGACCACTAAAAAACGATTGAATGAAGCAATTGAATTGGCTATATCCAACGAGTAGATTGAAGGTGTTGAAGACCTCCTTTCCGGCTATCTAAGAGGTCTATTTATAATGCTAGAATCGCTTATTTGACCGCTATTCTATAGCTTCATATTGCAATATTGCAGAATGCGCAATACCGCAATTTCGCTGCCGAGCAAGGCGATGATCGCCTTACCGCAACTGCTTAGTCAACTCCGCACTTCAACACACCCCCTCATCGCCTTGCGAAGGTCAACATTCTTCTATATCGATGATGAGGTCCTTGATATTGACTAGGTTGAGCATCCTGACGAATTCGCAGTGTCTTTAAGCGGGGAGTGCCTTCGTGAGGCCATCTGCAATCATCTCATTGATAGGGACCCATGCAACGCGTAGGCGTCCCTGCTGAACCTCCTGACGGAGCCAGGATCGATGAATATCGACATGACGTAGTTTAGATCTCTGCTCAACGTCTGCTGAAGTGGTTAAGCGAATAGTCTGTTGATTATCGCAGTGTACGATTAAATCGTGGTCAGGGTCAAATCCCATGATGTTGAAAACTCTTCTCCACCAATATGTTGCTTTCGCTGCTTCAGAAAGCGCAAGGTATTCGGCTTCAGTGATAGAGATAGTAATTGCACGTTGCTTGCCTGATTTCCATTCAATGAGACCTTCGTATAGCTTCCAGATGAATCCTGCAGAACTCGATCGATCATATCGATCTGCAAATGCTGCATCTGAAGCGATTACTGCCACTTCTTTGGTCTCTTGGTTTCCTGAGTATTCGATTGCTAGAAAACGCGTAGCGTAGAGATAGACAATAACCCGATTCGCAGCAAGAATATGGTCCGGAAACGGATTCTTCAGTGCTTCAGATAAACGGCTTACCATATAGACAACGTCAGCGCGGGTGGTCACAGTGGGATATTGGATCAATCTTATCTTCATCTCATATTCCTTGATCCTCTGGGGCGGCGCCTGCTCCGTGTATGGGGACAGGTCATAGGCGCTTGAATAAGGAATCACTGACCAGATCTTCAGATCGTTAAAATGGAATTTCGCAGCGAGATTCTCGAGGTAAGCGTTCTGACAGAGCCAAACCTTCCGCTGGAATCTATTCCGAATGATCCTGACTCCTAGAAACCACTTTACTTTTCCCATGTTGCGTAACTCATATTTCTCCGCGAGGGCGCGCTTGAATCGGTCAGTTACCTCGCGTGCGGTCTTCGTAGATAGATTGATAATGATGATATCGTCGACGTATACAAGAACAATCATGTAGACATTAAAATAGAGGCATTCTTCCTCC